ACACCTCGCAACATAAAACATTGTTGACAGGTCATCCACTAAAACATTCATCACCCATCCTTCATCGCGAAATAATTCGGATTTTTCTGCACAGACTGACAGCGTGGGTGATAGGTAGGCAACCCGCAACAGTCGCTAGTGACGTCACACCATGGTTGCAAAATCATCCTAAAATAATCAACATTTTTCTGCACAATTTTACAACACTGGTAACAATAGGTAGGCAACCCGCAACAGTCGCTAGTGACGTCACACCCGGGTCACGTGACATAGGTCCCGTCTTAAAGGTCAAGTACCGAAACGATAGGTAGGCAACCCGCAACCAGTCGCCAGTGATCTCACACCGGGGTCACGTAGCTTCCGTCTTAAAGGTCAAGTGATGGTATATCCTCATATATACACTACTAATGACAATGAAAATCAACGCGACCTACATAAGCTCAGCGTACATAAGCGCGAAGCAACTATTCGATCACCCAAGCGTTGCACAGTATCACTCGGAATTGAAGGCGAACTTGAAGTACCAACTCACTAAGCTAATTCCCACAACAATGGTCAAAGCAGTTCCACGCTTGGATGGTCAAACAGTTGCTTCGCCTTCGCTACAAAATAACATCATAATTTGACATTTTTACCGACTTTTCTTCACTGTTTGATGATTATCCTGGGAAAAATGCGAGCATGTTATTAATTTTTTCCCCTTATAGATAGCAATATAAGCTCGAGATAACTGAAACGTTGCAATTGTGATTGGCTCCAGAGTTCAACCATCGGTCTGTTATAAGCTGTCTACTTCACATACCTACCCTATCTACCTGCCAAAGAGGTGCTCTACATCGTTTTTAAGAACAGAGCAGCTCAATTATGAATATGCTTTTAAAATCAGTTGAAAGTTGAAACCCATATCTGCAAAATTAATTAAGAGCATGCGAGGTTAAAAGGTTGATTGCTTCAGATTCAAAGGTCTGGTGTCATCGCATTGTTTCTGGGTAAAGTTTGATCGGATAATTTTAGTGCCCTGCGTTTCTGGAACAAAGCCAAGGAGGTTTACTTCTCGGAGAACATTTTATCAAAGAGACTTGACCAGTCGAACTCCTGAGGTTAAAGAGGTTAGTTTCACCAGTTTGTGCTTTTATTTCCTTTTTTTCATTTATTTATTTATTTATTTATGTATTTATTTTTCAATATTGATACATAAGTAGTCGAAAGACTCCGAATGTGGTACAGGTTGAGTTGAACAATGCCAACAGGAATAGTGTAGGATGACATGAATTTCAGTTTTTGAATTACAGTTTAGCACTAAACTTCAAGGAATTCGTTTCGATTGTAAAAAGCCTTTTCAGTCAAAAATTTTCCAAGAGCACATTTTGCCTTTGGAACATATCTAGCTGAATTATAATTAATGTATCTACATTCACACCGTAACTTGAAACCTTTGGTGATAGATCGAACTTCTCTGGTCGATGTGTGGGGAAATATGTATCGACAGTGTAAGTTGGCAATCACATAACTCGTTTGCGGTGTCTGAATTTCCGCTTCTTTGTTATTGTTTTAAAGGAGAACAAATTGACATCACTCCTTGAAGTTTATGCAGAAGTTTCTTCGCTTAGAGAAGAAAAATCACAGAAGTTTTAAATAATTGCCGTTAGGTATTTTTCAGTTTAAAAAATAAAGTACTATAGGAAGTCTGCGACGTCGCAAACCGAGTTATGTGGTTGCCGACCTACACCGTCGGTATGTACTTGGCCAATCGACAGTCAATCTTCTCTTCTTACTTTTTTCCCCAAAAATTATTGATCGATGATTTCCTATAATTCTATAAATTGGAAGAATTGGGGAAAAAGTGGAGGCCGGACCAGTCTCCAAACTAATACTATTTTCGTCAGAATAAAACATTGATATCCGGTCAAATATGCGTCCCGGCTCGGCTCCCGAGTTAGATGAGTTTTGAAGAGCGCCTTCAAAACTGGAACATACAACTTGCAATACGCACGTTAAGTTGCATCACCCCAACTTGAAGGCGCTTTTGATTTCGAGAAAGGAATACTCGCTCAGACTACGTTCATAGGTAGTTATCCTATGGTGAGGGAATGGGGATTTGCAGTATACTGTTACTTAGATGTAATTGTCTTAGGGTTTCTTTTATTACCCTTTTTTAAGGAAAATAATGTGAACCAATGAATTGGAGTTGTCAAAGGAACATCGATGATGGGAAATTTTTAATTAAAGAAGCTGCGAGAGAAATTTTGGAAAATGTTTTAAAGGATATTCTGGTTAAACAACGAAAAAGTGAGGCTAGTGGCCAAAAACTAAACAGCATCAGTTAATCGATATGATACGTTTCTTCTCGTAAAATTAAATTTCAGAGGCAATGACATGTTGGGTAAAAGCAAACTAAGATCTATAATTTAACTTCAGTATCAGCGGCATTCAGTGGAGGAATAAAACTAAAATTTTCATTGCACCAAGGCTAATTTTCTGTGACTTCATTATTTAGTATATTTAAAGTTTGCCTTGTTTGGCTAAAAGTGTCAGTAGATGAGAAGCCAGCCCTTGCAGCAAACGGTGCTAGTTCTAATTTCGTCCAGAGGCCGTTGGAACCTTTGCTTTTTGAATTCTTGTGTTAGAAGTCTTTTAGCATGTTCTTAGTCCCCTAATAAAACTAGTAGGTAAGCGGGTGTCGACCCAAGTCGACCCTCGCTCAACCTTTCCGAGAAAAAGGGTCCCAGCGAAGGGTTCGCTGGTCCCGACAAGGTTATCACTGTTCCGCGCCGATTGTTTGTTGACGGGAGTCAGGTAGTCAATAACATCTCTTTCCCTCCCTTACTAATTCAGAGTTGTATGCTATTTTGTTTCTGCCACAGTTGAAGACTACCCTAAAGTCCATTTTAAGGGGCCGAAGTGAGGGACTAAACAGCATTTGTGGATGTTGTTCTGTATCTCCAAAGATTGAAGGCTACCATCGAGTTTTTGAAATTTTGTTCCACAAAAAAGATCCTCTCATCCTTGAAGATGGATATCATTTTTACTGATAGTTACGCAGTTATTTTTCGAGTATGAAATTGCTTTAATCGATAATTTTTCTTTGCTCATTTTCCAATCAAAATATTGATTTATTGTAGAATTTTTCTTCAGTTTTTTTCCAAGTAAAATACTGAAAAAATTCACATTTCTTCTCGGCCCCCCTCCCACCAATTGGTCGAATGATAAATGAATCAGATTTGATACGTGGCTCAAATTTCCTGAAGACCAAACGTCCTGGTATTCTAATCATGAACGACAACTTTTATTTTTTTTAAAAAAAATTATGTATATTATCCACAGAAAAAAAATTTAATCGGCGTGAAGTACAATCTTTAGAAACACGAAGAAAGGTTCCAAAAAGACATGGAAAAAAAGAGGCAGCGGGTTGTTGGATGATATGGGAATTTCCAATTAATTGCGGTATAGTATTAAGGGTTTAAGAAACTGATCAAGGTTACCTTTGCAATCACATAGTAAAGCGTCATAGTAAATAATTTATCGCATTCATACTACACGATTGTATCTTGTAACATTCTATATCTCTCAATGATCGGGATTGTTGACTCAAGTACAATGACTGAAGGGTAATGATTTCTTCAAACCCACTAATTTAGAATATTTGAACTCATTTCATTTAGCAACTACAAGAATCAATGCTATCAAAAATCTTGAGTAAAAAAAAAGAAAAAATATTGTCTCAGACTTCTTGGAAACTTATCGCGTTTTGCGTCGACCTCTTATTTCTACAAAGCACAGCCTTCCAGCGGGAGCGAGTTATCTGTTGGGACTGACTCCAACCATTGACACGTCAATCGTTAAAAATATACACTGTCATGTTTGACATAATCCATACAGAGTGTGCAAACATTTCAAGGTCATGAGTTGAAAAACGCTGACTCCACGAGATTAAATATTAAAGCCTAACATAAAGTGGAGCAGCGGCGCACTGGCGCCTACAAACCTAACAGGGATACTTCACGCATTGCGCAATGCGTGAAGTATCCCTGTTAGGTTTGTAGGCGCCAATGCGCGTTACGCGCTGGTTGCCCGCCCGCCGCGCCGCGCCGCAGCGTACCATGGCGCTTAAAGCAACTATTTCACACCAGAGGTATTGCACAGTATCATACGAAATTGAAGGCGCTCCAACATGTTGGGAATGGCAGGCATCCTTTAAAAGTACGAAGCTTTCCTCGATACATCAAGATACTACGGCCAAAAAAAAGAGTGGTAGTCCAAAAACTCACTAAGTCTTAGCATCCGTAATTAGTAACGTTTAGCATACACTTTATCGCCAGGCTATTGCTTAATCGCTATCGGCTATAAAAGACTATAAGAAATTGTGTTGCCGGCTATAGAAGCTATTGGAAATCTTACAGCTGGCTGTAGGTCTATGGTATTTTGGAACACAGATTCTACTGTCAATTTTTACCAGGGCATAAATACGTCCATATTAGGAACTGGACACATCCTCCTTCATGCATTTTATTTTTTGCAATAAATCCATTGAGCAATTTGTAGATACTTTTACACTGAAAAAAAAGGATGCTGACTTAACATTCTGAATATAAAAAAGTGTGCGACAACTCACAATACGCTGAGTTAGCTTTACATCTTGACATGGCTATAGTGACTACTGTGGCAGACAACTCAGCGATTCGTGAGTTGTTGCATATTTTTCCACATCAAGAATATTAAGTCAGTATCCTTTTTTTTTGGTGTAGGATTCCAGCTTTGGCTCGTGAGAATCACTTCCGAGAAGTTCATTATTAAGAAATGATATTTTTCAAATTGTGTCACATTCAAGAAAAAGCAAAATGGATTCTCTGCATTGATTCTATTCAGATATTTCTGATGTTGCTGTATTTTCATTTCTGAAAACTTAATGTTCATAAATTTGATGGGCTACTCATACAACAGTTTAGTTGTAAACTTAGAATTTGTTGGACCATATTGATACAGATGAAAACACATTAAAATGAAATAATTTGAAACAGTATATTTAAATCAACAGTTTTAAACCATAAAAACATTAATAGAAACTGACAAACGAAACACTTGAAGAGATAGGTGCCTATTGAGGCCCGTCTACACAAGCTCAAATTATGCAATTACTCTGGATCTTTAATTACGTATTATTATTTTATTTTACTTTATTTTTTTACAGAAAAACAGAAAAATGAAGATAAAACAATTAAAATGGTTTGTATCTTTGTACTGAAAAATACAACATTCAACATTTTTGTTTGTTATGCAACTAAAATGAAGCCCCTACATTTTAAAATCTTATTTACAAGCTCACATTTACACTCATGTAGATGTAGATATTCTTACACTTATATTTACACTTTAGGAATAATACTAACATTTGAATGAACTTAAAAAAAAATAAAATAAATTGACGGAAAATTGACAAAGAAGGTAAAACAGACTCTTGATGAATGGAAAAGATATCTTCACATAACAACATAAGAGACTAAAATAGCAGGTAACAAGAGCACAAAATGATAACTACAAAAAAAGGAAAAAAATTAAAATAAATAAATAAGAAATAAAAAATTGAGAAGAGAGTATACCATTATGCATAGGTAAACAAAAGTAAACTATAAAATAAGTAATAATAGAAATTAAAAATCATAACAACACTTTTCCTTGCTAAAGTAATGTCTCCTTCTTTTTTCAAAAGCTCAATTTTCTAATTATGTTCCTTTTCATGCTGATTGTAAGACACGACTTTAATTAAGAACACAACCATCGATAGAAGTTCGAATAAACTTATTTGTCTTGGTCATATATCAGTGTTAAGTTAGATTTGAAATTTAACTTTGAATGATGGGCTTGGATACTTTTGTTTCCTGATTAGCATTTTCAAGAGTTTGAAGCCCTACATAGATGATATTACAACTTTCATTGACTATCTGGGCAGATTTTGGTAAAAGAAGTTGAGTTGTTTACAGCATCTAGCCAGTGTCTTAATAGAATTCAGCGTAATTACAACTTGCATTGGCTCTGACTGCATTTTTCTTCAAAATTGTTCTTGGTTTCATTCTAATGGGCATTCTACACAATCATTTCATTTTTCTCAAAACTCTCAGTGTAGAGAGGTCTTTTTAGCTCCACGATATTTGGTACCTGCTAAGCTGCGATGACGCCATAACAAATGGATACCTACAAATAGCCTCCAGTAAGAAGAACCTATTAGTTAAACAGATGGCTTACTACCCTTTCCCTTATTATATTCTTATTATTCTGTTTTCTACAGCCCGTCATGTACGTATTTCGTTACATAATTGATGAAATGACAATTTAAATTTTGGATAAATGCTAAAATCCCTCGTGCACAGTCTGCAGTTCAAGGTTAGGGGAGACTTAAGATTTGTCAATTTTTGGCACTTACATCAATTGGATACTAAACTATTCAATCCGATTTTAGACTTCCCTTACACTTTATTTCAATGCTAGGATGACATACAGCAATTGGATGATTCCAGGAATAAAAACTGAAATAAATTCTGCATTCTGTTGAGAGAGTAATATCAGCACTTGTAAGACTGTTCTCATGGACTTTTTATACACTAACCTTAAATCTTTGAAGAAATTTGACTGTTTTGACATAATATTTGCAAGTTCTATCCCCTTTCTTCAAAAATATGTTTTTAACCAATCACTTTTGATCTATTCTTAAACTTTTGCTCTCTGAACAAAAAAGATACCAGTTTTGACTGATGGCTAATCTGAAGAAAAAAAATAAGAAATAAAAAAAAAAAAAAAAGTACGATAGATTACCATTAAAAAACCTAAAACTGAAAAATAAATATTAGCTACAAGGCATAGGCGTGGTCAGAAAAGTTTTCAAGAATTGAAAAAAATCACCTATGGAGTGAATTTTCATCATCTTCATCATGATCCTTGATAACTTCTCTGAGTTTGGACAATTATGTTCATTTAAAAATTTGGCGACGAAAAGGGGAACAAAAGCCTGTTGATACCCCCTCCCCCCCCCTCATATTCCCACTCATCCTTGAAGTTTAACTCAAGCTTCGAAAAAAAAGACAATGCCGAACCCTGTGAATAACGTGACATCTTGTAATTTACTTTCCATCTAGACACAAATGTTTGGTGTACACTCAAGAAGTGGAAGCATTCAAAATTTGAAAGAATTCTGAAGCATGTAAAGAAGTATCTTGGTTAAATGAGAGCAAAATTTATGCCACTTTGATTAGCAGAGAAGCCGATAAGAATCTCAGACAGAGCTCATTGAGTCAGCTAATCTGGTTGTAGGCTGCAGGAACAATACTAGGGGAATAGATTCATAGAGGGAAAAAGAGGTCATTTATCATATAAATAATTGGGGGAAGAGGGACGGCAGCTGACATCCTTGTTCTCCTTTTCATCATCACAGCACACAAAGCTTATCAAATAGAATGCAAAAATGATAAGAGACGCTTTCAACTTACGAAAAAACATCAAACCATTAGAGTCTGTTTTCTGAGCAATTAAAAAGGCATCATAAAAATATTATTTATTGAATGAATGCTACTATGTAGGTGTGCTACCTAACCACCTTTTCCCCCTTTTTCGGAGTCAGCAAATTCAGAATGGCAGATTACCTAGACAAATTATGGTTACCTATCTAATAAAAAATGAATAACTAGAAACGTTGACTACCTACACAGTAGAAAAAGGCACTAGCCTACTTTAGCCTTACAATTTACAGAAAATGAGACATAGTGAAGCAAAAATAAAATGAAAACAACCACGGATTGATAAAAAAATATTTTAGAATGGTACTAAGAAATATCTTTATTCAACAGTACCTATTTAATTGTGCGCCCAGTGACTGTGAAATCCTTTTTAGAAAAGGAGTTTCTATTGGATAAGACATGTGTTTGCTATTGAATCTAGAAAATCAAAATTTGTACGCAGTATAGAACTATCTTCAAAAAGGCTGAAAAAAATCATGGCTGAATTTGAATGAGATTTCAAGAAAACATCAGGTAATAACTGAAAATGAATTACAATATATGGCACTGGTACATCTAAAATAAAGATACAAAATTAAAGATTTATCACAAAACTACCTGAATCTTGGTAATGTAACACTCTTGATTAAAATTATGAGACACAAACAATCAAATTTATGAACCTTCAGTTGGCAATTAACAAAATTTAGTTATTATATTTGACTAAATACATGACTTTGGGCATTTACTTGCTGAGCAGCAAGATATACCTACAAATTAATTAAAATCTGTCTTTTAAAAACTTTGAGAAAAGAAAAATAATATATTTTTCCTTTTCCCTCTCTTTTCCATTCCTCAATAGCATCACAATATTCACATCGACTGTTCTATTCAGTTCATTCCACTAAGATTGACAACTTCCATTTTATGCGGCTCATAGGTACTTTAAAACAAAGTCAACTTGTCTGAATGGAAACTTGGTTCGTTTGCATCACAAAATGCGACAAGGTATGTAAATTTTTTAAATTCAAATTTATACCATCGTCGATGGTAAAGCACAAAGTAAATAAAATCCATGGAGAAAATGAATGCATTAAATGAAAATAAAATTGACTAATCACATGACAATTTAATGTACTACCATGTCAACTTAAACCCATGAAATAAGGAAATGAAAAGAAAAATATAATACAAATCTACAATCAAAACTTAATGAGAGAATAGGATGAACTGTTTGAACTTTTACACTGCAAATTAGGAGCACAAAGTCTGAAGATGAATTATCTTTGAGGTTTAGAAGTTGTAAATTAAAATTGTATACATGTTTTAAGGGCTGAGGTAAGAATTCAGAACTCAAAGCAAACTAGCTTACGACAGAAACAAGTAAGTAATGCATGCATTCCACTCAAAACGGTTTAGTGTTCAACATTACTTACTTCAAGACATTCCTAAACTATGTATGACCTTAATCAATAAAACTGAAACCGTAAACGTACGAAAATATGCAGAAGGAGAAGGCAAGAGAGTGGAGCCGTAGCTGATCACCACTCAATGGGAGCCGTGCATCTTGCGCTCAGACCTCATTGGCTGCCGCGCTTGCCCAATGGGGCTGTATCATCAGCACCTCCTGGACCTTTGATTCGATGCAATAACCAATAAAGGGTGAGCCCAAGATAAACTGCTGGGTGATGATGGGCTACCGCCACAGTAACTTCTTTTCTCGCCCCTCCAGGCTAAAGGCATAACTCCAATTACCCCTTTTCAGGGCCACCAAGACACGAGCACCCATAGGAGTAATTTTGAGTTAATCTCGGCTTTGCAGAAAAATAGAAAGGAATTTAGACGATGATTTAGTTGAAAAAATCAGAGAAAAAGGTCTACATTTTTGAGAAATCAAGAAATTTTAAATTAATCCATTGGTTTTTAATTTTGAATATTTATGGGCATTTCTACGCCTGATTATGACAAGATAGCAAAACGTAAAGTCAGCAGCTATTGTTATTATTCTTCCATAAATCATATTACTGAGGAGGAACGAAAATTAATACATATTAATGGTTTTCAAGGATCTATGGGTTAAAAAGCTCGCTTATTAGATACTTCAAATAGATTTCTTCTCAAATTAATTCATGCTCACATCCTCCTCCTCCTCTGATTTTTACAACACTTGAACTGGCCCTTGGGAATTAGTTTCTTTTCCATCATTTACACTTGGGAAATAAATGATAAAAAAAAAAAAACTGACACATGATAATGTGAAACAAAAAAAATAAATAAATAAAATGGAAACGTTTATCACAAATTTTAACTAACAAAAGGCATATTTACGACTGAAATTTTTCAAAAATAGGCAAACTAACTTTGATTTGCCAAATTATATATACCACCAATACGTTCCACAGTTTCAAATTCCCTCTTAACTAGCAGTTTCTATCCACACTGTAGAAAGAAACTATTGAGGGGAGTTACATTACTTATCAAATGTGAAAATAGCAGTATTTGGTATGACAATTCATTTTCGAAATTATAGACGATGCTTATTTACATATCTAATCATGTTTGCCATTACCTTTACACATTAGGAACATCTTGCAACCTATCTCTACTGTCAGCTCTGAAGTTCTTAAATTAAGGTGAATAAAAATGTGTAAGAAAATACAGTTAACAAAAAAATTTATTCCTAATTTTTCCCTACAGCTTTTATTGTTGGTGTAAAAAGTAGATTGAGAATTGGAGATTATCAAATACTATAATTTTGAGCAAAGATTAGGCGGTACTGCAAGGCTGAGATGAAAGTCTTCCATTTACATCGAGTGACACTAAGTAATTTGAAGTAGAAAGACGCTGAGTTTCAGAGAAGTGTCAATCAGATTGGTAATCTGCAAGAAAAAAAAAAAACAAGAATGAGTACAACATTTAGAACAGCACTACTTAGAGAGAAAGAAAGAGAAAAACATTCTCTTCTAACACTCTGTGGCTGGACTTTTTCTTCTACTCTGGTCAAATCAAACGACCTCAAAAATCCTTCTTGTTCACCAAGTAAAAGCATGCTCCAATATGATCCTGGAAGATCCACAGTTTCCGTAAATATTCAATTATTTCTACTCAATTTATTTAATTTTCCGGCAACAAAGGCTGTTTCCAGTCGGAGCGAGATTTGTGCCCGCGGAGAGAAAGGCGCCATTCCCATACTGCACATGCCAATAAGAGCGGGAGAAAATTGAGTGCGCCTTCATTTATAGCGTATGCAATTAGCACTATCCTTGAACACGAATAGTTGCATCGAGCGGTCTCGTTTTAATAAGCTCATACTTCTCAACGCTAACACTCACAACCAAACGGCATTAAACAGAATTGGCCCAACCGTCACAAAGTTTTTATTTTTGGAGAAAATACTTTACATGCGTCCATTGTGCCGAGCTGGTGAATTCTTTGAGTCCTCATGTTAAAATTTCTGATTTTTTCTCTGGTTGAAGACAGTTTAAAAGAATATATCGATGAAAAGTAATGAAAATATAGGCAAAGATCAAATGAGGGACTTGGAGGACAAGGCGCACAAGTGCAGTTTTTGCTATATTGAGAAACACACGTTTGAACTTGCGAAATTACATAGATCCTTGTAGCGAATAGCGAAAAGAAAGTTCAAGCTGACTTTTTGATGCTTAAAAATTGGAATTCGGGAGCGACTTTTTCACAGATATGCTTTAAGACTAGTTTTACTTGAAATCATAATAACTCATTTTCTTCAAAAACTGCACTTATGCGCCTTGTCCTCCAAGCCTTTCAAGTATTTATAGAGGTATGGAATGACGCTCNGGAAGTATCATACAGGCGTCGACTTGAGTTAATAAGCGGCGGCCACGGTTTTAAATCCGATCCGAGATCTGATTCAAAAGCCGGGCCATTTGGTATCCGCTCAAGTGAGGGGATAGAATACCAGCGTCTTTTGCTATTAAATCAAGATCGGACACCGAAAGGCCAGGTATAAAGTTCGGAATCAATGAACTCATACAGTAGCCGGGACAACCGCTCCGAGTTCGTCGATGGAGAACCCAAAATTCGGGGAAAGGTAACTAGACCCCAATTTAAAACCCATTAGCGGCCAGTTCGCTCATCGATCGTGAACCGCGTGTTGATGCGAAAAATCGTATTGAATACCGGTTGAGGATAAAGAACTCTGGGCGAAGGGTTCGGCGCTGGAAACTTCACCGGTCCGAAAACTTGGAGAGAGATAAACTACATCCCCAACGGATATTTTCAGAATCCGAGTTTCAATTAATTCACATGAGAAGGAGACCGAGGAGAGAGCTGCGCTCGAAGTTGAAATCAAAAATTAAAATCGATCAGATGAGACAGATATGCATCGCCTCGGAGATCGGGAAACTCGAACGAATGTGGATAAATTCAGATTACCGAAGTTCGCGTCCGCGAGTGCAGTCCGACCGAAGCGCGAGGATATGACAGAAGCTTTTAAAAAGTTTTCATTAAAGTGAGCTAAGAGCCAGGAGTAAAAATATAAAATTTACGGCGCTAAATGTCAAATATATCAATTTCGCTCGGGTTCCCCGGTCGGGCGAGGGCGGGGAGGGCCCGGAGAAAAGGAGGACGAAGTCTTGTGAAGTTTGGGGAAGCTTCAAAAACTTAATGGCGGAGCTATTCACCATTTGCTGTTTAGCCACTCCACTAATTTAGCCCCCTCGCATCTCCGCCCGCCCCCGAGCACTTCAAACTATCTTCCTCGGATGTTTTTTTCCCTTTTTCCGAACGTCCACGCTTCTTCTCTGAGAGGGCGCATCACAATAATTCCCACCACGCTTATCTGATCCACCAGCGGCGGCGATCCACCCCGAGTCGCCGAATGTCACCCCCCTCCCGGGAGTCGAACCCCCTCCAGGAGTACTGCTGTGCTAAGGAAAAACGCTGTATGAGCGTACGAGAGTTGCCAAACTTCCCCGGATAGAACATGTATTTTTGACGAAATTTATGCGTATTTTTCGTTGAAGCTTTCAGATATTTTAGATTAAATTGCAAACAAAATTGTGTAAACAATTTGGAAACAAATATTCATAATGGGTCAGTTGCGCTGTCACAGCATTGTGTTTTGATGCCTTCTCCTTGCAGATCAGCTAAAAATAATAAGATCTGTCCGAACAGCAACTTTCTACATTCGATATTAACCGAGATACCGCGCCTTGAAAAACTCGAATTTCCCTCGATAAAGCATGTATTTTTGTTGAAATTTATGCGTATTTTTGTTTGAAACTTTCAGATATCGACGGTGAAACTACCAAACCACGTATCTCGGTTTGCGACATCGCAGACTTCCTGTCATACTTCATTTTTTAAATGAAAAACTACTTAACGTCCAGTCTTGAAAATTTCTGTGATTTTTCCTCTTCGTGCGGAGAAAATTCTGTGAAAATTTCAAGGAATGATATTGATTTAGTCTACTTCAAAAAAATAAAATGCGAGCGTAGATTTTTAAACACCGCAAACGAGATACGTGGTTTGGTAGTTTCACCGTCGATATATTAGATTGAATTGCGTACAAAAGTGTGTGAACATTTTGGAAACAAATATTCACAATGGATCAGATCAGACACCTTGGATTCTCTTACCAGCACAACTGACCCTCTGGGCTCTCAGGAAATTCGGTTTTTATTGGAGGAAATTAGGCAACGTCTGAAGGCTCATACTGCGTTTTCACTGAGCACGGCAGATTAACAGTCCGCTTTCGCGTCCAGTCTGGCAAACTCGGCCCGAGTTCTCCTCTTTCGTTTTCCGTTATATTCGACGTGAATCGCTTGTTTTCGCCGGCTGGGAACCGATGAAAAAGCGGGAGGGTTGCGTCAGCGTCGGACGAAAAAAATTTGACGTCGGACCCGAGTCCGCGCAACGGAAAGGAACGAGGTAACTTTTAAGCAAAAGAGGTTAACTTTCCGACCGGGACCCGAGACCGACTTTAAAGATTTCCGGGAACGAGACACTGAAACAAATGCACGGGCGTGGCCGATGCTCGTGCATCTCGCTCTTGACTCCGCCGAGAAGATGGATTTATTTTTAGAATTAAAAGGGCGTTTAAGAACTGTACGTAACACCTTTTCTGAGGCCGCACTGAAAAAAAAATTTTGGTGTATTTACTAAGAAAACGGTAAAATTACCAAGAATTCAGGGTTCTATTTGATCCCAGTTTTTTCTTGGTAAAATTACCATTTATGAAATTGGTAATTTTACTGAGAAATCTCGGTAAAATTATTGAACTTTCTCGGTAATTTTACTGGACCTTGGTAAAAGCGACAATATTTTTTATCGACTGTGGTAGAATTACCGAGATGAAATGGCAAAGTTACCGGGAACTGATTATCAATAAAAATGGTATTCTTACCTGGAAAAAACAGTAAAAATACCGATTTTTAGGTAAGCTTACCAGTCTGTTTTGGTAAAATTACCAATTATTCGTAAAAAAAGAGATGGTAAAGGTACCGACGTACCTTCGTAAAAATGCCGAGAATTTTTTTCCAGTGCGAGGGTCGGAGGGGAGGGCCTAAGTCTGCGTTTATGCCTTTCAGTAGATCAGCGTTAAATGACGATCCGAATTTTTGGAAAAAAATAATGAAAAAATTTAAAAAAATAAAAAAATTTAAAGAAATGATACAACTGTTTGAAAAAAAAATGTTAAAAAAAATGATAATTTTTTTTCAAAAAATAAAAAAGAATTTTAAAAAATTCCATAAAAAATCAATTAAAATAAATAAATTAATAAATTGGAGCCCTTGCTGATAGATTCAGAGGGTAAAATTACACCTGTTGGCGAAAACCAATAAAACAATGATTGAAAGAACCGGACTGACGTTGCTTCAGTCATGAGAAAGGCTTAAGGCCGGTTTAAGGTTCATAAAATACTTAACTATCTAGGGAGGAGGGGGGAGGGTCACACTGCCGTTACAGGTGCGTTCCAGAGGGAGTAGAAGAAGTTAGATGGAAAGAACAAGGATAGGAGGGGAGCGTGCAGATGGGGGAGAGGGGAGGATTCGAAAAATCGCCACAAAATGGTAATTTGTATCTGATGCTCATAGGAAAATGCTAATTAGAGGGATGAGGGTCAAAAAGAGCCTTACATATTTCTTTTGAGGGTGTTGAGCTGGGTTACGGGTGCGTTATGGAGGTGATACAAAAATCCGATTTTTAGCGTTACGTATTTTATGAGTGACTCCTCTGCGTAACAGAGGAAAAAACTGACCAATACAAAAAGAAGCAATTAAAACTCTTAAATTTTAGCTAACAAGGGGAGCTTCCCAAGTGTAACCGGAATTTCGAGTTGAAATTTCGCATGAAGATACTAGAGATGATTTTAGGGATGCCGTATTTTTTCGTTTTTTCGAATGGGGTCGGGAAAGCCCTCAAAAAAAGGGCTAAAGATGCGGAAAAAACGCGTGCGCTAGCGGCACAAGGTAACCGTAGGTGATAGAGGCACTGAATCTTTATCAGTACCGCATGGCCGAACGGTAGCGCGCTCGCCTCGCAGGCGGGAGGTCCTAGGATCGGATCCTGATTACAGCTTGTTACTTTATTTTACTTTATGCTTGTTTATTTTTCACTTACTTTATTTTGCACCATTCGCTCCGCAAACCGACTTACGAGGTAGAACACGTAGTGACTGGAGATTTTTTACATATCGACGGTGAAACTACCAAACCACGTATCTCGTTTGCGGTGTTTAAAAATCTACGCGCACATTTTATTTTTTTGAAGTAGACCAAATCAATATCATTCCTTGAAATTTTCACGGAATTTTCTCCGCACAAAGAGGAAAAATCACAGAAATTTTCAAGACTAGATTTTAAGTAGTTTTTCATTTAAAAAATAAAGTACGACAGGA